TATTCGAGCGACCAAACTTTGCAACTGCGGCAGACTCTGTTCTGGCGTACGCGTTTTGTCCACTGTCAATTGAACAACTCTTTAGTTCCAGGCGTTTTATCCTGACACTTACTCCACGGATCATCCCCTCCTTACTTTCGTCGCTTCCATTTAAACTGAGAACTAAATGCTATACAGAAACCGACGGCTTGTCTTTCGCACCGTACGGAATTTCGCGAATTCAACCCAGACGACCTGAAAGAACCACAAAGCAAGTAATTAATGCAACAATTCTTTATGTGAACAGTGTTATTCCAGAGGAGTTTAGGTTTCCGACAGAGTTCCTGGCCCGGCCAGACTAACCAAAACGTGACTGTTGCGTCGCTCAAAATATCATTAGGAAGCCTTTTTAACTTTTAGACAATTCGAAAAAGCGACTTCTTCTTGCGGCAAGTTAATTGTGATTTCAACCCCGCCGCCTTCTTACAATGACCGGTACAGGCAGTTGTAGGAACGGACGCACTAGCTGGCCAGAAAGAGTTAGAATTTCACACACGATTTCAACGATAAACGCCCTCGAATTTATCATCAGGACTCATTATCCGGCAGTGAGTTTGCCCAACACTACGTAGCGGACTGTTTTCTATAGGTCTTCCTATCGAGAAATGGTATCTTCACTATGTCCTCCTCAGGGGGCATTAGGAAACACTATACGCTACCATACGAACAGGTTTGGCGAATAGATGTTGTGAGTAAAATGAGAAAGAAAGGCTATAGACAATATCTTTATCCGAATCCATGTGAGCATTATGTAACAACCGACAGACGTGTATAATTAGACACTATCTGCATCTGAGTCTCCTGGAAAAATTCATGAGCCTCTGTGGCTAACTCCCGAACATTTTCGCTAGTAGACGCGTCTTATTCTTAAACTTGTGCTTCTAAGACTGCGTACGTGCACGCCCAGATTGCTGAGACGGGTAGGTAAGTGGCGACATGGAATAGACTAGGTGAAGGTAGGTAAAAACCAAAGTGATGCGACTAAAGCAGTGAATATGCGAAGGAAAGTTTCATTGTTGTCAGACTTGGGAAGACTAGTGAACGCAGGCTAAAACTAGAGATGAAAAACGTAGGCATTGTTGAGAGTCGGTGTGAGATTTGGATATTGATCGACCGGACGAACCTGATGGCCGGTGTCAACGACAGAGCAGCCGGAACGTTGTGAGAGGCTTGACTAGGCCGGGATGGCTATCGCAGTCACATGATGGAAAGGAGGCGGATGCACTCAAAGCCCTTCGACAGTGTGCATAGTAATGCTGCTTGTTCTGGTAAATCTACCCATGTTTATTTGGTGAGTTCTGTGGATCTACCTTTTTAGGGTCCACTCTGGCAACAAAAGCAATGCAATGCTGTAACATCCCCAAAGTACCTATGCTAGTCATCAGACAGGCTGTTATTGGTGCTCTAGCATACAAATGCCGACAACAGTATGGTTTTGGCGTCATGCTGACTTAGAGGTTATTTTTAGGTAGGAAGAAGGGAGTGAGATTGTTTTTATAGATGTACTGCAGTGAACGCCTCATTAACCGAATAGCAAATCTTACGCTTGACCTTTTCGGTATGCGGCGTACGGTGTCAGACGTTGTCGCTTGTTTGTTTATGCGACTCCTACTAATCGCTTAGAATTGCCCGGCGACATCTAACGTTATCTTGAATGGTGAAAGGTAATATTGTCAGTTTCCTGTTGGCTAAGAAGAAACAGGAGTTCCTTTCTGAATAGCTGCAGATTGGATCGCTTTCCGGATAGAGAGCAGGAGAGCGAATGATCCAAATACCTCCAGTTGTCGATGTGGATCAGCTCTCAAACACCGCGCAGTTTGACACCAATGTCGTATAACGACTTTCTTCTACTCGTAATAGTGATAAAACCGTCACTGTTATTCCAGCTATTCCGCAGTGGTGCGGGACCAATTATTAATGAGCTCAATTCTCCCCATTCAGGTAAAAAGCGTCTCGAGTTTCAATCCCATCTTCGCTCACACTATGACTTCCAATGCCAGATTTGTGATTATACCTCGCGTACAGAAGGCCGCCTGAAACGACATATGAAGGACTTTCATTCCGAAGTTCCACCAGAAAATTTCTCTGGAAAAATCACAAAGCTGTCCAAACCGAAATTTCAAAAGTGCAAGCAATGCGACTTTATTGCCGAAACAAAAGTGAGTGCCGCAGTAAAATTCTTGTTATCATTTTAGTGAGGAATTGCGAATGATGGATGCATCTCCTTCCGTGCAAATTAAACTTGCCTGACTAAAACATTCACTTTGTCTACCTCATAATTTAACAACTAGCCTACATGACTGTGACTGATTGTGGCCCATGCGGTTGGTAGCATGGCAAAGAAAGGAACGAGGGAGGGGTTATGCCTGGTTTGATATTCATCGCAAGTAAATACCACAGAACTAATGATAGTATTTGTTCACTTTGACCCTCCTGTGAAAAACTCGGCACCTCGGTGGAGCTCGAACCCAAGACAGCAAGGGAGGGGTGCTTTAGTACAGCCAACGCTCTAACCATCTGAGTTACGAGACCCCATCGGACGATGCGAGTTTAATCGCATTTGGGTCAAGTTTATCCACCCAACCTACTTCAACGTTTGGAATCCACCAAATCTGATACAGTAAGTTGACTGCCCAAGCAGGATTTCCTAAGTAATGCATTTAGAATCTATTAAATAACTACCAGGCTCAATTAATTCGGAGGTATTTTGGCAGATTTCAAACAATTCACTTTTGTCATCAACTTTTCCTGAAAACGACGTCTGTCTCATGTATGTTCAATTGAGGAAGTAAAAGCCCTTTTGTGAAGACGCGTGATCTTAGCTTTAAAATCCCTGCACCCAGTGATACTTAATATAGGGCGTGGTTGAGTCTAGAGCACCCACCTACCACAATTAGTTATCTCAAACGCCACAACACTGAATGGGCTTCTGGTCACCTTAACTAGGAAGAAATTCATGACTTCTTGGCTTTTAAGGAAAAGTGAGTTTCATATTTCTTTCTGCGGACGAATGGATGGAAGTGAAAAAAAAACTAGTGGTGATTTTTCGCCAACGCAATTTTGCTAGGCTAATTCTCCACTAAATCGTCTCAGTTGTTGGTCTCGTTCCCATGCATTTCAGTGCACCATACCAGATGCATAGGTTTCACCGGCGTCTAACCGAAGTTAGGAGATACGATATTGCACAGTTGCAGTACAATCAGAAAATAATGACAGGGGCGCTGGCATATTCAGTGTCTGACAGAGGGCTGGCTATATCACTCATCCCCATTTGTAGTGAAACAGAAAGGAGGGTCAAATTATATCTTTTGTTTCACCATTTATCTTCTCTTATGTTCCCATAGCCAATAGATATCTGACACACCAGGATGATGAGAACTGCTTGTTCCGTGACTTCATTTAGTTATTCACACTTGCAGTTCACCTGATTGTACGTCAGAAATCTGTTTTGTTTGGTGAGGGCAAAATGACAGACGCTTCTACCACCAAAAGTCTTTTCAACTTCTGGAATTCTTAATCGGCTTAAATTATGGGTTTGCACTTGTCTGTCAAAACATACCAATCAAATGCGTTTGGCCTAAACTTTTGCCATCACTAAATTAAACTACCAATATCATAGTGTGTAGTAAGTCCAGAGTTACAGAATTATCCCAATGTTTTGCCGCCTTCAGGTGTGAGAATTTAATGTTGAGTAGACTTCCACTACAAGTGCCCGACACACCGTGTTAAAAATAGGCACACAGCTGATGCTACCGCTTCCTATTTGCGCAATCCGTATACTCGTAGGGACCCAGATAGTGACACAATCATCCAGAATGTGCTTACGTCAAAAACCGTGTTAATCAGCGCTTCCCCTCTGCCAGATGAGTCGAAAACGCTCCAAATTTAATTCCTCGGCCATTATTCAAAGCATTCGTTTAATCTCTAATCGAGACGGGACTGGGGCTCCGCTCTAGTTCATAGGCCCTTCGTGCCAAGCCACAAAGAAATAGCGTCCGTTTGCTCCGGCGCAGAGATTCAGTGGCCCCACCCCAACTGCCCTCGACCAGCGAGCTGGAGATAGAGGGAGGGAGGGCAGTAACCCTACCCCGCATTACTCTCATCATCCTCTGTCCGGTCTGCCGCCCAACGACTGATCTCAGCACGGCCTCTGCTGCGCCGGCAGTGCCCTGGCAACCGTCAAAGGGTTCAGCGGGCCCCGAAGGAGGGTGGAGAGAAAACACGCGGTTGCCGGGTCGAACGCGTGGCCGGCGCATCGATAAGAGGCGGAGGGCAGCCATGACATTAGTATGCCGGTTGCGCAACCGGGGCCCAGGGACGGAGGCTCTCCTGCATGGGGGACGGAGTGAGAAATGATGACGGACCGGACAGGTGGACGAAAACATCAACCGCTACTGACAGCTGTCCCTAGCCCACAAACACGCACACACGCACACACACGACGATCGGACACACCTGCCTATTCGTGACTGGTCTAAACCGGTTAC